GAGCCAATCGCTAGGCCATTAGTTGTAGTGTGTGTGAAAGTGTGTCGAGTGACCTGGTGGTCCTTCGACTGAGGTGGGCCAGCAATCGGACCACCGATTTGGGGTGTGTGATATGCGATGTCGAGACGGGTGGCACGCATGTGGAAAGAAGAGTTGGGGGTGACCTTCTTGGTACCTACAGAAACAATGGCCTTATAAGAGCTTATTGCGAGAGTCGCCTTAGAGCCACTCTTAGGCTTGAGACTGGTGAAGGATCCACCAGTATCTGTGTGAGCATGAGAAGTGGTGGTTTTAGAACCACCCATGCATGTGGTGTCAAAGGACTGGCCATTGATGCGGGTAGAGGGGGACTAAGGGATTTGAGAGCCCCTTCTCCCTTTAGGTTGGGCCGAAGCCCAAGTGCGAGCAGTTTGGTCGCTTCGCAAAAGAAGGGAGGGAGATGTAGGTTGCGAAACCTTACCCCCGAGGGACGAGTTCATGGGTGTGGGGATCAAGAAGTCGCAAACCCTATAGTAGGAAGATTATTTAACCCCAAAGCCATTTTTTTTTCCAGTTGGTCGGACCTAATTTCTAATCGTCCAGGGTCAACCAGAATGTGAGTGACTCAATCGGAGGAATCCTCTCTCAAACAACCGCGAGGTCCACGAGCGTGTGTGCATGTGTGCTCCTGGTATGGATAGGAACAACAAAAAAAGAGATTTTAATCGACAAAGAAGGGCTCGAGCACCTACCTTGCCATGTTGGGTTCGGGGGATGCATCCGGACGATTTGCCCTCTTAGATCATCTCGAAAGCCCTCTGGCTGTCCTTATAACGCGGTTTGAATTTGGCTCCCACGCCTTCCTGCACAGCACTTGGATCCAACAACTAAAAATGGCCTTCAGGGTATATTTATTTATGGGGTCTCCTCCTATTGGTAATGTATGGTGGATTGAGGCCTAGACAAAAGGTTAGAGGGGCTGTGAAAGTTGGAGTGTGTTAGAATAATGTAGATTCGGATGGGTGAAGTGTGAGTGGAAGTGTGTGAGTAGAAGTGTGTGAGTGAGAGTCTATGATGTGAGTGTGCGAGTGGGTGAAGTGAGTGTGTGAGTGAGAATGTGAATGAGAGTGTGAGTGAGAGTGTATGATGTGAGTATAAGTGTAAGTGTGTGAGTATGAGTGTAAGTGTGTGAGTATGAGTGTAAGTATATGAGTGTGACTCACATGTAAGAGAGGGGAAAAATGTGTAATAAAGTGTGAGTAAGACTCACGTGTAAGAGAGGGGGATGTAGACACAAGCGGGAGAGAGAAAGATTTGAGAGGGAGGGGTACGTACAATAGAAGGAGAGAGAAGATTTGAGAGAGAGAAAAAGAGAGGAAGGTGGCGTGAGAGAGAAGAGAGAGAAAGGTGACATGAAAGGAGATACATAAGCCAAAAAGAAGCGAGAAAGGATTTGAGAGTGAAAAGAAGAGAAAAAGGTGGCCTGAGGGATAAGAGAGAGAAATTGAGAGAGAAAAGAGGAGAAGGAGGTGGCGTGAAGGATAAGAGAGGGAAAGGTAGCGTGGAAGGGAGAAAGATTTCAACGTGCAATAAAGGGACAGAGAAGATTTAGGAGAGAAAAGAGAGGTGGCATGAGGGGGAACAGAGAAAAAGGTTGCGTGAGGGAGATAAAGATTCGGGCATGCAATAAAAGGGGGAGAGATGATTTGAGAGTTAAAAGAGGAGAGAAACATGACGTGTTGGAAAGGAGAGAGAAAGAGGGAATTTAGGAGAGAGAAGATTTGAGAAAGAAGAGAGGAGCGAGAAAGAGGGGATTTGGAGAGAGAAAGAGGGGATTTGGAGAGAGAAAGAGGGATTGAACAAAGAGAGAGAAAATAATGGCATGGGGAAAGAGAGATAATGATTGTGTGGGAAAGAGAGATAATAATTGCGTGAGGAGAGGGAGAGTGGAAATTAAGAGAGAGATGATGGTTGCGTGTGAAGGAGAGAGTAGGTGGTTGCATGTAAAAGAGAAAAGAAGGAGATAAGCACGGTTGGAGAGAAAAGTGGGAGATGAGAGCGGGTAGAGAGAACATAGGGAGATGAGTGTGAGTGGAGAGAAAGGAGAGAGATGAGCGCGGGTAGAGAGAAAAGTAGACAACGAACGTGGGTGGAGAGAGGAAAGGATGTGTTTGAGAGAAAATAAGAAAAAGAGATAAAGGGATAAGAGAGAGAATGGACAAGCAGAGAGAGAAAGATGTAAAACGGGGGTGTGCACTTGTGACAACAATGAAGAGGAGAGAGAGGGTGGTGACGTATATGCCCCTAATTGTGTTCCAACAGATAAGGGATAAGAAAGAAGGAGAAAATAAAGGAGAGAAGGGCACCGCTCTGGGTTTGCCAGCGGGTAGGGGATGATAGAGTGGGAGAAAAATAAGAGAGAGAAGGGAGAGAGGAGGTACAAGAGCAATTACCCAAGGTGGTAAAATTTTCTCTCTCATATCTCTTGAAGTCGGGAGCGATGCATGAGGCTCAAAGAGGGGGTAGGTGGCATGCTCAAAACTAAGCTAAATTGTGAAAAATTATAATTTAATAGAATTAAAGTAAAATTCCGTTTTTGGACAAAATTACCAAAATAACCCTTAGTTCTTTAGAGCAAATGACAAAATCATCCCTCCATGAGGGGCCTCTTGCCATTGCTAGACTTTGGGAGCTCTTTTGCGTGCCTGTGACAGTGATTTGGATAGTCCATCCTCGTATAATTGATGCTTGATCTGTTCTAAACATTTTGACATCCTTTGATCATCTTGAAACAAATTTTTCATGAAAGAGCAAAAATCAGGCCAAGTCCATAAGCTTCAACCACCGATCTGGTGCGATCAGCGATGTTTCAAGTCTTCATTTTGATCTCAAATTAAAGGGGACATTGTCACAATCGTTTTGCACTAAGTTTTGTCCAAATTGGTTTCCGTTTGAGCATATCCCCAAATTCAGAAGTCGTCAGAATTAGGATTCTTGCGATCGGGAAACTATTGTCATCTTTAACCTTGGACTTCGTATTATTTGGCCTTTATCTGAATGCAAAATCTATACCAGACTTGTAGCTATTCGCGATGTGGTCACAACAGATCTAATTTCGTGTCTATCCGACTTATGGATCTCGAGTTATGGTTTCATGAAATATGGGACATCTTCTTAGTAAAATTCTAATTTTTATGGTTTCGTGCTCTTCTCTCCATAAAATCTTTCGTCTCGAACTACACCGCGATGCGTGCCATATGTCAAAATGACTTGGTCGTCGAGACCTAGCTTGCATCCAAATTTGAACTTGTTCCCATTCCAACCAGGCGACCTGTGGGCGTTTGAAGATCATCTTGAGATGTGAAACGCAACCTTTATGATTGGGAACTGGTTCAGTGAGGCTACACTGCAATAGTGTAAAACCTACCCGTTTTTGGTAATTCGGGGTTAGAATATTCCTAAAAGGTCCGATTGAGCCCAAATTTTGTCCATGGGGGTTTTTCGACGTTCCATATCTAATGGCGGTAGTCTGGTACCATTTTGAAATTCAAAAAATGAGGCTGTAGTTATAAGGTCCCCTTTTAGCATGATAAGAGCTAGTTTTGAGAATTGAGTTTCGTTATGATCATATCAAAACATATTGGAATGTGACGAAACTTTTGTGAGTGTCCTTAGGGTATCCCAAAATACCATTATCATTCCTTTTTAAGCCGTTTTAGTACTTTTTCAGAGGTTGCCCAGTTTTAAGCTTATTTTGTAGTGTTCCCATGGTCTGGCAGTGTCTTGAGTACCGACAGGACTAGGTCATCACGGGCTCTCTCCTTATTTGCACGGACGATGAAAGTACGTAAAAAATGACATACAACAACGAGTTTTTCAAAAAATATCAATTTTTTTATTAATTGTTTAGAACTCCAAGTTTTTCAAAAGATCTTCAAAAACCCGTGTTTTTTTTGTGAAGCCCATATAAATTTGTATTTTATCTTTTTTCAAAAAAACTTCTTCCCTATAACTTTATTTTTTAATTAACTTAATATTATTGAGTTTTAGTTTAAAGATAAGAACATTAACAATAGGAGTAAATTAAGAATCTTGATTTAACAAAAAATTACATAAAAAATTTCACCAATGAGTTCCTTTAAAAATATGGTGTACAAAAAAAAAAGCAATATATTCCTAAAAAAAACTAAAGCGATCATATATCTTAAAATAATATGCACAATTAGAAGAAGAGTAGCCTAATGAAAAATCTATTTTTTTTTTTAAACCAATAACGTCCTTATAAAGAGCAAGAGAGAGACTCAATGATACTAAATATTTAGATAGCTAGGAATTTAGTGCGAGCTTCAAATTTTCTTAAGTAGTTTTTCATTTTTATTTTTTTTAGGCATAAAAAAATTTGATTAATTTCATTTTTTTTTTGTATTTTATTGGTGTATATAACATAACATTTTGGATGGGCCACTATTTTATATATTTGGGTCTTTTCGTATTCTTTTAATTAGCTACAATCCTATCTAGAGGGTATTTTTTATTTTTATTTTTTGAAAAATATTCCTATACCTTTGGTTATAGTTTTAGTTATTTGCTAATTAGTTCTTATATTTGATGTTGTTGTTTCATTTTGTGCTCCTAATAAATATGCGATATGTTTTGTGGTGTGCAACAATGTTTATTGAAAATTTCAACAAAAAAATGTTAAGTATTGCTCTAATGACCCTAGTACGGCTATAAAATTATCGTTTAATAGCTTTAGTATATCTATACAACAGTTGCAAATCATAATCTTATTTTTTATTATTATCACAAACAGAATATTTTTCACTATTTTTTTTTAAACCAAATCTGAAATATTCACATTTCTGTAGCTTACCTTATGTTTTGGCGTTATTGTATTCTTTATTCTAGACTTTTTAAAGTATAAATCAATTTATTACAGATATTTTGGTCTATTATTCCCAGAAAAACACGATATATTGGTCTGTTATTCCCGAAAAACAAAGCTGGTTGGGCTTGGGGCTCGTAGGTGACCGGACAGACCCACTCGTCCGAGTTTGCAATTGTTCACTGTAGTGCAAAGCACCGTAGAATCCCGCTTCTTTTAATAATTGAAAATGGCCTCCACGGAGCACTAAACACTAGTTGTTTGACGCCATTAACACTTGCCTATGTAACAAGTAATAAACCACTTCCTTTTCTCTCTTAATATCCATGGTATCAGTTAATTTTGAGGGTATTATTTTCCATCCAACGCTTTTTCAAGGAGAATGGAGCTTCAAGGAGAAAACGGTGACAGAATCCCCTTAGAGAATGGTAAAAGGACAGAATTAGGGCGAGGCAATGGCTCCCCCTTCAACGATTTAACGGTTTCGAGGCAACATGTCTCCATGGAGCTTGAAGAGGACCGGAAAAATGGAGAAACTAGGGTTTCTTTCCAAGTATTGGGCAAGAATGCAATCTGTGTTATCAGTTCTGGTAATGGGTCTAATGGTTCAAACCCTAGAATTTACAGGAGATATGAGAAGGGGCACCTTAGAGTTGCGGCCAAGTTGTCAGTATCTCTTAAAAACCCATATTTTTATAGTTTGAAGAGAATTGCAGTGCTTGAAACACAAAAAAAAGAAAAAGACGAAGAAGAAGTAGAGAGAGGGGTTAAGGAAGCAGTATCTAGAAGAGAGAAGAGGACTTCGAAGAGGAAGAAAACGGCTCGTGAACATGGAACTGATAGGGGTGTTCTTGGTGATATTTCTGAAGATGGGTTTGTTGGTGAAAATGCAAAACTTGAAGATTTGGGGCTGGACTCATTTGATGTTTCATGCATTGATCTTGTCAAAGGTTAGGTGTCTTCTTAATTTACTGTTACTGTTACTGTTACTTTCTTAAGAAAAAAGTATATATATTCTGTTATTGTCATTTGTTGCGAGTTTAGACTCTAACTGTGTTATTACTGAAAGCCCATGGAACTAGGCCCCTTTGGGAAGCACGAAGGTACAAGTTCAGCTTTGCCCTTACCATGAGTTTTATTTACGAAGCTTCCTGCTAAAGAATGGAAATCTGATTTTTGCGCTAATATCTTCTATTTTTTCTCTCTAATTTTAATTTATCCACTTTTATCTACAAGAAACTGTGAAAATTATCCTCCTTGGTCACAACTATTTCTGTTTCTTATTTCTTTAATTTTATTTCTGTACTTTATTAACATAAAATAATGCAATTTGTTCTTTTTGTGCTTCTAAAGGGTTCAATTTTATCATCAAATGTAATTGAATAGGTTACAAATTTATGTGCATGACTGTAATACAATGGTTTTTAAATGAGATTCAGATATTCCAACTTTACCTAGGCGGAAGGTTAATGGGAGCTAAGCACATGATAAATTTGGATATTAGCGTGGGAATTTTTTGTGGTGTGTGTGCTTTACATGATGCACTCGGAAAATATTTGAATTATCATTTACAGAAACTAAGAACCATTTCTTTGACAAATTTCTCTTTAATTCATTTCACTTGGACTATAGCATTAATATTTTCTGGCAGTCAAATCGATATTTTTCTCTTCAAGGTTGTATACTTGTCCTATTATGTATTTATCAACAGTGATCTATTTATGTTTCTTTTGTTGGTGTGAATTTCAGCAGTATTTAATGCAGAAATCTTTTAACATTCAAATCGTCTTAAGTTAACCTTTCTCCAAAAAAAAAAAACATATTAGTCGCGGTCTGCAAAACTTTTCTAAAAATACTCCTGCATGACTTTAGTCTTGTTTTCTATCACGGTCTAAATATTTTCAAGTCCTCATATAGTTAATGGTTCGCGTAGACTTAATACAACACCTGTTAGGAGGTGCGAGTTGGTTCAAGTGGAAGGCTCAAAAGGGCAAGGGGTAGCCCAAAGGACATGTTTGGAAGTAGTGAGAAAATATATGAGGACTTATGACCTCATTGAGGGTATGGTCCTTGATGGAGCAAAATGGCGAACCAGGATTCATATAGCCGACTCCAAATAGTTGGGAAAGATCAATGACCTTATACTCCAAAATTTAGGGATCGAGATCACAATATGTTGGGAAGCTCGATCCCAACTTCTAGGGGTTGAATGGATAAGTTTTACAGGTTGAGCTCCATTTGGTAAAAAATCAGAGTCCTTGGGTGCATTTAACTAGGATTCCTAAGGTCCATAGGGCAATCCATATAATATTGAACATAATTAATGAATTTTGTAAAAATTCAAAATTTTATTAAAACTACAAGAAATCCTATAACTTCGGATGTGGTTTATATTTTAATTAAGCAATAAAAAATTATAAAGAAATTGAAAGTTAATAAAGTTTTTTTAAAAATGTAATCTTTCTATGGTAATTTAACTTTGTGTTCGTTGAGTGCAGTTTATGACATAAAGTAACATTATACTTTTAACTTTGTGTTCGTTGATTGCAGTTTATGACATAAAGTAACATTATACTTTTAACTTTGTGTTCGTTGAGTGCAGTTTATGACATAAAGTAACATTACACTTACCCGAATTGCCTATGAGGATAGCAATTCCGTTTCGAAATCTCCAAATGGCGTTTCCTCCGGTGAAAGTCGATTCTAAAAGAAAGGAATCACGTTTTCATTTTTTGCAGAATGCGATTCCACCTAGTTTTGGAATCTCGATTCCTGGATTGCCGGAATCAAGATTCCATATCGAGGACTTTATGATTCTTAGCTACACAAGAGTGCGATTCTGCTTGTGAGAAATGTTGATTCCAAATTTTTGGAATTGCGAATCCATGTTGTCTGGAATGAAGTTTCTATATCGCAGACATCGTGATTCCTTGCTACACAACAATGCGATTCTTGAACTAAATAATAGGAACTTCAAGTGTTCAACTAAATAATATAACATGAAAGTAATGTGAGAATAGGAACTTCAATTCTTGAACTAAATAATATAACATGAAAGTAATGCGAGACTAGGAACTTCAAGTGTTCAACTAAATAATATAACATGAAAGTAATGTGAGAATAGGAACTTCAAGTGTTCAACTAAATAATATATAACATAACATGAAAGTAATGTGAGCATAGGGAGCGCATAAACCTTTCGATGTGTGCTCAATCATGAGTGAGCACAACATGTATGAGAGCGTGAGAGAATTTGAAGTTGTTGCACACGACAATAAAATCAAAATTTAAAATATGAGTAATATGTTAAATTTTTTATTTTCTTATTTATTAATTTCCATCCTTCATTCCATGTTACTTTTTAAGAACTGTCACCAAGAATAAATGATACTAAAAAAATATGTTACTTCAAATTTAATAATGTTCGGTAAATGGTGTGGGTACGAAACTACTAATATAATAATGTTTAATATATGATTGACACCGTCATTTCTTCAAGTTGAATAAGAGGATAAAAATGCTTTTCCTTAAGTAGAATAAGAAGATAATAAAGATACAAGCGAAGTGCCCTGTGTGGTGTTTTAGGTTAAATTAATCATTAAATATAAGAGAAATTGACTAAAAATTGATTAACTCAATTTTCAAAAGTCAAAAGACCCAAAACTACATTTAACAAAGAAGAATTACTATGTCATGTACTTATTTTATAATTCAAGGAAAAGATATAAAGGGAGCTTGCCCTTGTTCTCACTCCTTGTATGCTGTAGACTAGCTCCAGACCTTGTAGGCATAATAGGGTTATCGGGAGATCGAGTCCATTGTATGGGATTGTCTACAAAGATATCATAAAGTTTGACATTAGGTCTTGGAGTTTTGGACTGGGTATATGCAGACCAAAATTCGATCTTGTAGTAATGGGTAAGTTTATATATTTTTTGAATACTTCTCTCATATACCGGAGGGAATTGGTATGCAATTCTAATAAGGAGAGAATCTCGATTCCAATATGGGGAGAATTATGATTCTGGAATGGTGAGAATGTTGATTCCAAATTGATGAGGACAACGATTGTAGAATTTTAGGAATCACGATTCCTTATTTTTAGGAATTACGATTCCATATTTTTAAGAATCACGATTCCAACAACCACCAAAACAAGCGGGGTCTTGTGTGATTCCATATAGGTATGAAACGCGATTCCAACATCAAGGGACATCGATTCTTGCAAATAGGAAACACGATTCCTAATTTTTTGAATCACGATTCCAAAATAGTGAGAATTGTTTTTTTCAAATCTGAATCGTATGGACATCGATTCCTAAATTTCGAAACTTCTGATACACGCAATTCGCGATTCCGATTTGGAATCACAAACGTTCCCAACTACTATAAGTAACATCATAACAATCATGGATCCTTTTTTGTTGAAGAAAAACTATTAAGATGAGTATTAAAGTTGAAGCCCAAGCCTCAAACTCATGATTTGTTATAGACGCCAATAGTGATAACATAGTGTACCACCACCGAAAATTACGTGCATGAACAGAACATGCAATTAATATATTATATAGCACTTAGAGGCTTAAAAATATTAAATAATTATGCAAAATAGCCGTTGCCTAGCATTAAGTTGGAGGTCAAGGTTGGAACTCGTGACCTGTTAAAGAGGCCGAAGGGGACTTAGTTTAGTTTACCTACAAATTCTCGATGTGATGTTGAGGATTCTGCATCCCATGTGACGTGGGATGTTAATCCCTAATAGGAAGGATCAAGATCCCAAAGTTTATAAATCAAGAATGAGCAAGTTCGCTCTGCAGTGCAGGATTGATATTTTGTAGTGGGATTGACCCTATGATTTGGAGATTCAAGTAAATATGGTATAACTTCTATGTTACATATTATGTTAGTGATAGTAATTCAAATAACTTTACATGACTCCAGTTTTTTAAGAAAATTTCACCTAAGTGTTATTGGTTTTGAAATTCACTTAAAAGAGGAACGGAATTTCCATAATTTTTTTAAGAAAATGACCTTATGTTGGAGGAAGGAGGTTTTACATAGGGCCTTATGCTAAGCCACACAATAACAAGGAGAAGCTTTATTTCTCATTACCTATCATCAAATACAAACATTGAGATATGTATGTATGTATGTATCAGGATTTATGGGCTATCTGGCCTATGTTTCAGTATAGGCTGGACAACCCATGTTCACCAACAGGTTTGGGGGAATGTTTGTCATTTTCTATTTGTGTATGGTTTTTGAATTTTTATTGTGCGCCTAGTTTTGTGCATATCTTCTCAAATTTCAGCTCAAAAGGATTTATAGTAAAAAATTAAAAATGAAAAGGTGCTTAGATTGAATCTAAGTTCTTTAGCCTATACAATTCAATAGGCAGCTGGCTTACGAAATAACACACACACGTGTGTATGTATGTTTGTATGTATATACTTATGATATCTATGTGTGTATCTAAATACATAGATATACATACACATACACGTACACACATTTACATATGCATGTGCATGCACGCGTATGTGCCCGTGTGCACTCACACGATCATGTTGTGCATGCTTTTTATGCATGATCATGTTTCCGACTTGTAGAATTCGGCTTTTTGGTGGTGGGTCATGAGTTCGACAACTATGGAAAACAGAGGATCCTCCACATGAAGGACTGGGACCGGTTTATTGAGGAACCTAGGGAAAATAGTGATGACGAAGCTGATGACAAGAGGATAGGCCAGAAAGGGGGAGGAAAGAGAAAAGGCAGAAAGACCAATGACGATGAGGACTGGACTGGTGAAAGTGAAAATGAAAAGGAATTAATTGCAAAACTTAGAAGATCGAAATGACCTTCATATTCAAAGACCAGAGCAAAAGATCAAGGAGAACAAATTGAAGAGTTTTTGGATAGTAACAAGCCAAAGTGCCAAAAATATTTGGATGTTCAGGAAGAAGATGACGATAGTCTTGGCAGGTTCATTGTTAATGACGATAAAGAGGAAGAAGGAGAGGGAGAAGATAATGAAGAAGAAGAGGAGGAGGAGGAGGAGGAAGAAGAAGAAGATGATGAGGAGGAGGAGGAAGAAGAGGAATAGGAAACAAAAGCAACACACCTTTTAAATAAGTGGAACAATTACTTTATTGCTTAGTATCTCTGTGAGTTGAGGCACTGTAAAGAAAGGGACATCTCCTCTGATCTCAGGTATGTTTTTCAAGTTGGATTGGCAATCCTTTACAAAAAGAATCTAATGGTATTTTTATGATATTTGTGCTGTCAAAAATGACCGTTTCTTTGCCTTGCCTCAAAAAAAGGAGGGGGACAAAAAACGAGAAGGTAACCTGCTCTCTTCTTGTATTATCCTCTGGTTGTTTTGCTAAGACAGTTGTAAAAGAGGATCATGATTATTGAATCCTGTGGACATATGTGCATAACATTTTCCCCAAATAGTTATAGTTTTTCTTTACCCCATAATATTTGTCAAGTTACAATTGACAATATAGCAAATGAGATAGATATCCATCATTACAATCAAATGAATAGTAAAACACCCACTTATAGACACAGTATGGACCAGTGAATAAAACCTCACTCATTGAGTCAACTCGACTTGTTCAATGGGTGATTTATTTGTTGATTTGGCCCATAAATGTTCTCTTCTAGGCTATTAGCGTTGTGGCATGCTAAGCTGTTGAGTTGGGTTCAGTTCACCTAACTGACATTTTATATTTCATACAAAATTTAGAAATTTTTTCTGAGATCTTCCTAGTTTGCCATTTCATCAGGCAAGTTGACTTGCTTTTGATGGTGACTGCATTGCCACTGAGTTTGAGTTTCTAAACAGCGGTTATAGATGTAAGTATGCATGCATGGAGGAGCCTTGAATGATTATGTTGATATATGTATGTACATGTATGTGCATATTTCTCTCTATAAACAAATGTATACATGAATAAAATTCATGTACATTTATGTATCTATGTTTATGCAAAGTGCTACAACATCTCATCAACTTGTAAGGCAGTTAATAGCAGGAGTTGATGTTCCTTTTGCTGTGGGATTTGAATGGTTGAGGAACAATTGTATGATGTTATAAGATTGTTGACTTTTATCAATTGACGGCCAATTCAACAAGCAAATGACACCAATGGTCAGCAATACTATCCGCACACACATAATGAAACTACACTTTCCATTATCTTTTATGGCGGTTAATATGCCTTTTTGTGACTTTTCTTTTTCCTGGAATTTGATTGTTAAGGAGCATCTGGCATGGCTGTTGTTTGTTGATAATCTGTTCTGCACATAGTCATTCTGGTGGTCTAGAACATGCCTACCTGGGAAATCTCAATGAAATAGTGCAGGAATGCTTCATGCATGGCTTATACCAGTTGTTTACCTTATATGCATTCATCTTTCAGCAATACTTCCAGATGTGGGCCTTGCACTTTTAAGAATATATGTTTCGGATACTAAAAGGCAAAGTTTTTAATGTGTTCTCCAAATGAATTGGACCATAGAAAATATGTGGAACCACATAATTTACAAAATTGTAACATTTAATTTATGAGATGTTACATGGGTATGCTTGTTTCATTCTAAATTCTTTTCTTGTTTTCAAGTGTTGGAGAGGAAATGTTGATTCTATATATTCTAGGCTTTCACTATATTCTAAGCTTTCACTATATTCTAGGCTTTATGGTACAAACCTCAAGAATGCGATATTTTTCCACCTAATCTTGCACAGTTCATTAAAATTTTCTAATCCTCAAATGGAATGGGTCATTGAAAGCTGATTACATGTTGATGTAGCTTTGTTTGGATTTTTCTATAAGGATTTTGGTTTTATTTTTATATTTGTTCATCTTTGTCTTACATTTCATTAGCTTTAGTTTCTTGAACATATCTATTACGTAATGGTTTTAAGGCTTCACAGGAAAGAGTGTCATGCTTCACTTTGACCATGATAGTCAGTTACTGGATCTTCCAACCTAGTGGTCGATTCTACTCTGGAATGGCGCTTCTGCGCTTCAGAAAAGAGAATCTCACTCTGCAATTTTTAATCTCTGGATCTCAATCCTTCGTGTTAGGGATTGAGATCCCTAGTTGTTAAGGATCCAAATTCCCTAGCATTAAAGTATGGTATAGCAAAATGTTATGGTATAGTCTAGTTTAGCAGTGTTGTTTAGTATAGAAGTATATACTATATAGTATGTTAGCATATGATATGGTATAGTAGCATATAGCACATAATATTGTAATACAGTATAGAAGTATATTATTGTATAACAGTTTGGTATGGTATAGCCGTATATACTATACTACTGTACTAGTTAAGTGCTGTCAGGGCCTCAATTTTTAAGTAGATGGATCTCAGTCATGTATAATTTGTCATTCAATCCCAATTAGGTTTAGATCCATCTCCTTCACGTAGTGGTACCTAGATCCCTAGATTTCAAGGTGTACGTAGAGCAATCCGTACCATAGGGAGCTGCCTGCTTGTGAGGATCCTACGGTCCTATCCCGATCCCAGATCTAATTCAATCCCAACGAGAAGGGACTCACTTTGATTTGCATGGTATGGTCTGAAACCTTCTTCCCCTCCTTGTCTTTGTATATTGTTGATGTGATGCATTTCCATTTAGAAAACATTCCAAGCACTGTTCCTCTTCTACAAAGTTTATGTTTATAAAGCACCGTGTCCAGTAGTCTCCATTTGTTCAATACCAATCAATACTCTATTTTAAAATTACATAGTATGCGGGTAATGATATATTGTTTTGCATCTTACGGTAATCATTGCTATGTTGATTGTGTATAATGGTGTTCAATATTTCTGATGTAAATATTTGTCACAACAAGCTGAAATATGTCCTGCCACACGTCATTTTATCAGTTTAGGAAATTTTAAAATTAATACATATGGTTTTTATGACTTTTTACTCTCAGTAATATTGGATCCAAAAAACATGCCTCCTGTGGGCTTCTTTGAACATGAAGTTGGTAGATTGGACCACTCTAAACAAGGAATATGATATTAACTAAAGTTAAAATTGCTCGTATCACTTTGAACTTACCTGGTAAATTCTTGGTAAACTGAAGTAGCGGTTCTGGACCTTGATGTAACTGATGAGAATTTGATGAAAATCTTAACCAATCGTCTTAAGAATTCGCTGACTGCCATGCTCAAACAGAAATTTTGACATGATTTAATAAAGCGTTGTATGGGTGTTGACATGTGAAGCTCTAAGATATTCCTATTTCTTCTGGGCAGATTTCGCTTTCTTTCTGCGCAAATTTCTTTGCACTCTTGTATCATGGGATCGCTCATGTCTTGAGAAATTGCAACAGGCATATACACCTTGAGAACCAAAATGACACGTGTTTTTGTGTGCGTGAGTATATTTCCTTTTCAGTTATTTAATAAGATTTTTAGAAATAGTATTTGTACCTTTTGAGTTGTGCCGAATTACATTATCCAAATCTTTGAAGCCCCCTTACAAAAGTTCAATCATAAATACTAGATTTCTGATGCTATTGATGTTATTTTGCACTCAAACGGAGTGTAATATTCTGGTCATACTTGAGTGTCAGGTTGGCCACAAGGTACATGTGCGTTAGATCATCTTGTTCCTATTAATAGGCAGCTGGCAAGTTTTCCTGTCCTCAATATTTGTATCATAATTTTCCTATCCTCAATGGTGAGATTTGTGCAGATTTTGTATGTTTTCTTCTGGATCTGCATAACTAACATTTGGAAAACTATCATTTGTGGATGTCTGAGGGTGAAGTTGTGCATGCATGGAAGTAACCCATCTATTATGGCAGAATATATGACTTGTCATTATAGTGAGTTTAGTTATTCCTTTTGTAAATTTGAAATAAGCAACACAATGGTTAAATCTCATGGCTTGTAGTTAAAGTGATTGATTTCCATTTTAGAGGGTGGCTATAAAAGTTTGGATCATAAAAATGTTAATATCTTGGTTTGTATTCAGGTGTACCATTGGTTTCTTTGCAATTGTAGACTGTATACAATCAATATTGCTGGGACTCCATGGAGAGGCATACTAGAATGTTATGGCTAACATTGTTGTTTGGGATGCATGTTAGCCTTCCCCTGTTTGCTAGGGAACAAAATGGGTTACACTTTAACTAACAGGTGTCAAGTTGGTAGTTTGGAAAGAAATGTTTCCAGCCTTCTCTATTTTACTCTATGGTCATCTTCCTTTTTTATCTTTAGGAGACTAGGGTTCAAATTCAACTGAATGAAAGGGATCTCTCACTTTGTTAATTGTGCAATAACTGTGTAAAACTAAAGTCTTACAGTATGGAGTAAAAGTATGCTACTATGTCACTAGCAATTGCCCATTTACTAGGAGTAAGAGCATAAATCTGTAGTCTGGGTATGCTGCCCATCTTCGCACCTTTCTTCTGATAAGGGCAGTTTGATATGTAGCCCATGAGAAACAAGCCTTAGCAGTAAGCTAATTCTAACAACTGCTTACTTTGCATCAGCTTCATATCCGAGAGGAGAGGTAAACAAACTTCTGCAAAAAAAATTATAATCAGTAATTCTAGCATGGTGAATGGAGAACAAAGATTGAAGAATATCATAGGAGTACCCCAGAGAGAGAGAGTAATTCTAGCATGGTGAATGGAGAACAAAGATTGAAGAATATCATAGGAGTACCCCAGAGAGAGAGCGAGAGAGAGAGAGAGAGAGAGAGAGAGAGAGAGAGAGAGAGAGAGAGAGAGAGAGAGAGAGAGAGAG